ACATTCTTTAGTCCAGATATAGACACTTGCAATAGTACATTCTCACATTCTTTAGTCTAGATATAGACACTTGCAATAGTACATTCTTACATTCTTTAGTCCAGATATAGACACTTGCAATAGTACATTCTTATATTTTTTAGTCAAGATATAGACACTTGCAATAGTACAGTCCCACATTCATTAGTCAAGATATAGACACTTGCAATAGTACATTCGCACATTCTTTAGTCCAGATATAGACACTTGCAATAGTACATTCTCACATTCTTTAGTCAATATATAGACACTTGCAATAATAAATTCTCACATTCTTTAGTCCAGACATAGACACTTGCAATAGTACATCCACACATTCTTTAGTCAAGATATAGACACTTGCAATAGTACATTCTTACATTCTTTAGTCAAGCTATAGACACTTGCAATAGTACATTCTTGCATTCTTTAGTCCAGATATAGACACTTGCAATAGTACATTCTTACATTCTTTAGTCCAGACATAGACACTTGCAACAGTACATTCATTAGCGCAGACATAGACACTTGTAAGAGTACATTCATTAGCCCAGACATAGACATTTGCAATAGTACATTCTTTAGTCCAGACATAGACACTTGCAAGAGTACATTCTTTAGCACAGACATAGACACTTGCAATAGTACATTCTTGCATTCTTTAGTCCAGATATAGACACTTGCAATAGTACATTCTTACATTCTTTAGTCCAGACATAGACACTTGCAACAGTACATTCATTAGCGCAGACATAGACACTTGTAAGAGTACATTCATTAGCCCAGACATAGACATTTGCAATAGTACATTCTTTAGTCCAGACATAGACTCTTGCAATAGTACATTCTTTAGCACAGACATAGACTCTTGCAAGAGTACATTCTTTAGCACAGACATAGACTCTTGCAATAGTACATTCTTTAACCCAGACATAGACACTTGCAAGAGTACATTCTTTAGCCCAGACATAGACTCTTGCAATAGTACATTCTTTAGCCCAGACATAGAATCTTGCAATAGTACATTCTTTAGCCCAGACATAGACTCTTGCAATAGTACATTCTTTAGCCCAGACATAGACTCTTGCAATAGTACATTCTTTAGCCCAGACATAGACACTTGCAAGAGTACATTCATTAGCCCAGACATAGACTCTTGCAATAGTACATTATTTAGTCCAGACATAGACACTTGCAAGAGTACATTCATTAGCCCAGACATAGACACTTGCAATAGTACATTCTTAAAATCTTTAGTTAAGACACTTTTGATAGTACATTATTTAGTCCAGACATAGACACTTGCAATAGTAAATGTTTTATTCACACTGACACGTGCAATAGTACATTGTTTGATCCAGACATTGACATATGTGATAGTATATTCTGTAGTCACATATAGAAACGTCTGGTAGTACATTCTTTAGTCCAGGCATAGCCGCTTAAATCACAATAGCACATTCTTTAGTCTAAACACAGACACATGGAATGGTTCACTCTTTATTCCAGTGCATTCTTTAGTCTAGATATAGACTTTTGGAAAAGATTCATTTCTCAGTCCAGGCATTGACACTCATATTACTTTATTCCTTATCCCAGATGTGGACATATGTATTGGCTTTATTCTTTAGCCCAACCCATTCTTTAGTCCAGCCCATTCTTTAGTCCAACCCATTCTTTAGTCCAGCCCATTCTTCAGTCCAGCCTATTCTTTAGTCCAACCCATTTTTTAGTCCAGCCCATTTTTTAGTCCAGCCCATTCTTTAGTCCAACCCATTCTTTAGTCCAGCCCATTCTTTAGTCCAACCCATTCTTTAGTCCAGTCATAGGCAAATGCAGTGATACATTCTTTAGCCTAGACATTGACTTGTTCAGTGATAAATTCTTCAGCTCAAACAAATATGCAATGATACATTGTTTGGCTCAGGCACAGACATCCGCAATGTAACATTCTTTTTGGCTTAGACACAGACATGTGCAATGATATATACTTAAGGCCAGAAACAGACATGTGCAATGATATATTCTTTAGCCTTTATATAGACACATAGAGTGATAAATTATTTAGCACAGACATAGACACATGCGGTAATACATTCTTTAGCTCAAACATTAGACACGTGCAATGATAGATTCCTTAGCCCCGTCACAGACAAGTGCAATGATACATTATTCAGTCCAGACATAGACACATGCATTGATACACTCTTTAGCCCGGACATAGACACAGTCCACTGTGGAGCACATTTCAGTCGTACAAAATCTCTCTCCGTTAGCAGGTAACACAGAATCTACCTAAAGGAGGGGATAAGGAAAAAGGGGGGGGGGGGGGGGGGTGCGTGGTCTCGAGGCATGGTTCCGTGCTAGAGGTTCCGTGTTCCATACCCGGTAAGGGCTGAGATTTTTTTTACGTGGACTTGGACTTCTAGTAATTCCCTCTGGTCTCTGGGTAGTGAGATCGAACGCCCGTGTGCTTTGTTGCGCACGAAAAAAATCCCTTGGCAGTTGGAAATCGAAAAGAGTAGTCTAACACTACAGCGCTGCCCGGGCACAATTAAGAGTGAAAAATCTACCCAAAGTATTTCAGGATCCTCGCGCGGTGCTACAGATCTGGTGCACTGTCCTAAGCCTTTTTGGATTCAGAAATGAGTTAATGATAACAGCATAAACTTAATTTATCAATAGCTTAAGTTTCCTATAAAATTTTCAGTATCTATGAATGCAACAGTTGCAATTAAATTATCAAAACTATTGATGAAACTAATGTTTCAATAGTCATTAATACATTAACATTGTTAATGTCCAAATCGGACAGCTTCATTTTTAGTGTCTTTTGCTACTATCAAATTTTAATGTCTATAGCTACAACTAAATTGTCAATGGATGGAGACACAATTAAATTTCCACTGGCTTTGGACACAACTAAATGGTCATTGGCTATACATGCAACACAATTTTCAATGGCTCTAAACAACTAAATTTCAATTAGCTAATTTGTCATGGGTTTAAGAAGCAAAAAAGTTTCCAGTGGATATTCTTTTTTTTTCTTTTGCCTTTCTAGCCCCCAGTGGAGCATAGGCCAGAAACCAACTCCCGCTGAGTCGTTCTATCATTTGCTATATCGCATGCAGCTCTACCCATGTCCAGTTGATATAGATACAACTAAATTATCAATAGCTACACGTACAACCCACGCAAAAAGAACCATATGAAGTAAATATTATAACAGTCAATTTTTATCATTCATAAAAAGACAAACAACAAAAAACAATCAGAAGAAAACAACAACATAGTACTGGACAGATTCTGGTACAATTTACTCAAGATTAACTGCAGGCAAAATTAATACAATATGCCAACTTCTGGCAAGTACCACATACACACATTCAAACAGTCAGGCACGCACGCGCGCGCGTGCACACACTCACACACACATGCCATTTTCCCTTTAAACTGGACATTTTAAAAACTAAACTGGACGATTTTCAAACAACCCAGGACCTTTTTCAAATGGATATTGGAAAGTGTCAGTTTAAAGTGAAAATGATGTGTGTGTGTGTGTGTGTGTGTATTTGTGTGAGTGCGCACTCACTCACGCAAGCACACACGTGCGCGCACACACATTTATGTATATTATAATTTAAAGTCCCATTAATCAATTACAATTTATAGACACATACATTAGTTACAATCATATAACAACCAATAAGCCACTCGTGTTGTATAACTCAACAACAGACCATGCCTGTTGCATAACTCAACAACAGACCATGCCTGTTGCATAACTCAACAACAGAACATGCCTGTTGCATAACTCAACAACAGACCATGCCTGTTGCATAACTCAACAACAGAACATGCCTGTTGCATAACTCAACAACAGACCATGCCTGTTGCATAACTCAACAACAGAACATGCCTGTTGCATAACTCAACAACAGACCATGCCTGTTGCATAACTCAACAACAGAACATGCCTGTTGCATAACTCAACAACAAACCATGTCTGTTGCATAACTCAGGTGAGATTTCTCTCTTAGCATTCACAAAATAATTTATCACATTAATGGAAGACGATGCTGTTAAACAAACATGCTTAAAAAGGGCTGGGGCACATTAAGGGCTGGGGCACATTCAGTGCTGCAAGCCCCCACACTGAAGAGATTCCGGGAATTTGTTCGCATACCCAGTCTATACTCTGTCACTATGTATATACAAGTAAAAATAAAGGACTCTTTTCCACCTCTTTCATGCGTATTGGGTATATAGGTCGAGACCTGAATTTTACAGAACAAACGGCACTTGATGGGTAATGTGGTCAGCATCACGCAGGCCGCCTTTACTTCCCAGGACTGCAGCTGGTACCCACTCAAGGCTGGGTCGACCTGGGAGCCAAAGTCATTTTTGAAAAAAAAGTCCGTCCCCGTCAGGAATCAAACCCACGATCTTCCGATCCGCAGGCGATAACCAAGCAAGAGAATGTTCAGGGGAAAAAGTGGGCATTGAAGGCTCACCTGTGTGCTATTTCTAACGCCCTGTATAAGTTAGTCTTAATTTATATAAAGTTACTCTCGATGACGTCGTTCCATCTGTTGCGTGGTCTTCCATTTGGTCTGTGCTCATACTTCTTCAGTGATTCTCTGTGACAGTTACACCAGGGCATTCTCACCCCTCGGCCATACCAGTGTTGTTCTTGAATGTACTATGTGGCTGTATGTATGAACCAATGTATGTGTGTACACTCTAGATCGCCATGAGTGTGGCTTTAGCGGCAAGAACCCACAAACAGCCTGGAAACTATCGCGTTAATTAGGCTCTATAACTTACAATTATGGACACATTCATCGAAATATCTATAGAAATAACCAAATAACCAATCACTTGTTAAAGTTGCACTCCGAAGTTATTCAAACTGAAATAACCTACTGGCTTTACATGTGCGCACACACAAGAACAATCGCATCAGCAGAAATCAGCAAACACTAGATTGAAGCCCGCTTTTGTCCAAGATGTTGCCACTGCAGGAAAGACGCACTGTCCTCTGTACAACTGTGACTGTCTTCTTTGCCCACAGTTGATTGCATTGGAAGTAAATGTGATATTTTCCCTGGGCCCCTGGTTACGGAGTACCTGGGTTTCCCTTTTGAGCGAAGGTTGTAACAGGAACATGAGCATACTGAAACGAGGTCATTGTACTCAGGTGCTTCTTGGGCTCCGGACACCACACTACCATTGGCGGTGATCACATCCCCGTCTAGTCTCACTGCTCCTCTAGCGGCCGCCGCTGCTTCCCTCTCCTCCCTCTTCTCATCAACAGTATTCATTGTAAGAAATCGAAGAATTAACAAATTCATTGCGGCAGATATAACCGTCAGACCAAAGAGAATGAAAATGAGGCAGAAAGTTACATACTCAGGCTGGTTTGTCAACATATTGTTTCTCTGCAGCGCCACGAAATCCCCGAAACCGATCGTGGTAAGGGTAATGAAGCAGTAGTAAAAGGCATCAATATATGGCCACTTCTCAAAGTGTGCGAAAATAGCGGCACCAGAAGTGAGCACAATTGTTGACAGGTTTAGCGCGATAAAGATAAGATTAGTTTGCGACACTTCGGTATTTTTCATCTTGAAGCATTTTCTCAAGTTCTTCACTAGAAATGTCACGAAGGTGTTCAGTCGCTCTCCCACGCTCTGGAACATCACGATGCAAAGAGGAATGCCGGACAAGGCGTAGAACATACAGAAGATTTTGCCTCCTATTGTCTGTGGCGTGCTGTGACCGTAACCTGGAGACAAACAAAAGTAAATGTTAAATATTTGCTTGAGACCAACTCTTGCAGTCTTAACGGTTTCTACTTCAAAACGTTAATAATGTGCGATGAAGGTTGGCTGTCGCGCACCCGCTACTGTCTGAGAATATTACGTAACGTCTTAATGACTTCCGCAGTTCGAATTTGGTGCCAGATTTTTTTTTAAATGACTGAGTGAAGGAAAACCCCACCAGGACCGCTTACTAAGCGATAAACAGCCGGAGATCCAAAGAGTCACAATTGACGTGAGAATTGCCCCCGGTACAAATCCCAGAAACTCCGTTCCACCGTGTGTTTACACTGTACTCCCAGGCGGTTGCTAAGTAGCCTGAAGGCCAGACAGGGCAGGGTGTGACGCTAAACAATCAAGGGAGTAAGACAAGGTAAAAAAAAATACACACACATTACATAACTTCCAGTCAAAATGGACGCTAGGCAGGGACACTGTTTGGAGCCGAGGCAAATGTTTTGCTTCGGCCGGACGGTGGCCGATGCATTTTTACTCCACTTGTAGACTGTATAAAGTTTCGTCGCCCAGCTTCTGTGTTAAATGCATAGCGTGACACTATGAGCTGCGTATTTCATTTGGAATGTTTTTTTATGTTTTTTCGACCCACCCCACCCACCCCCACCACCCACCCACCCCACCCACCCACCCACCAAAACCCCACCCCCACCCACCCACCCCACCCCCACCCACCCACCCCACCCCCCACCCCCACCCACCCACACCCCCCACACCCTGCCATATATATAATGGGTGCTGTGGTTATCGAGCCCTGGTACGAAGTGGATTGCGTCACTGCAAAACGTATTCACTAACCTCTAATCAACAGCGCAGCACTTTTACGTCAGACTATTGTTACTTGACTGCAGAAGTGGTTGAGGGAGGTTGGGAGAGGGAGGGGGAGAGGTGGGGTGCGCTAAACACTTCCAGCTTTATTCAGTACAGTCACTTCCGCCATCACGCAGTACAATCACTTCCACCACCATACAATACAGTCACTTGCCTCATTATAAGAACATTCACTTTCGCTATCACACAGTATAGTCACTTCCGCCATCACACAGTACTGTCACTTTTGCAATCACACAGTACAGTCACTTTCGCCATCACACAGTACAGTCACTTCCGCCACCATACAGTACAGTCACTTCCGCCATCAGGCAGTACAGTCACTTCCGCCATCAGGCAGTACAGTCACTTCCACCACCATACAGTACAGTCACTTCCGCCACCATACAGTATCGTCACTTTCGCTAACAAACAGTACAGTCACTTCTGCCACCATACAGTACAGTCACTTCCGCCATCATGCAGTACAGTCACTTTCGCAATCATACAGTACAGTCATTTCCGCCATCATACAGTACAGTCACTTCCGCCATCACACAGTACAGTCACAGTCACTTCCGCCATCAGGCAGTACAGTCACTTCCACCGCCATACAGTACAGCCACTTCCGCCACCATACAGTATCGTCACTTTCGCTAACAAACAGTACAGTCACTTCTGCCACCATACAGTACAGTCACTTCCGCCATCATGCAGTACAGTCACTTCCACCACCATACAGTACAGTCACTTCCGCCACCATACAGTATCGTCACTTTCGCTAACAAACAGTACAGTCACTTCTGCCACCATACAGTACAGTCACTTCCGCCATCATGCAGTACAGTCACTTCCACCACCATACAGTACAGTCACTTCCACCACCATACAGTACAGTCACTTCCGCCACCATACAGTATCGTCACTTTCGCTAACAAACAGTACAGTCACTTCTGCCACCATACAGTACAGTCACTTCCGCCATCATGCAGTACAGTCACTTTCGCAATCATACAGTACAATCATATATTTACAGGCTTAATGGATGCATGTTGTAAAGGACTGAATTCTATTCATTATATCGAAAAGATTGCAGGTGATATAACGGAATAGAGGATTAGACCCCCAGCCCTATCTGACTCACAGCAGCATGTCAAGATGATGATGATGACGAAGAATCAACATTTTAGTGGTCAGCAGCACACCGGTCGCTTTTACTTCCCATGATACTGATACGTACTTCTGGTCAGTCTGTTCTAGACATCCAGGTAATTTATCCTCTCTCTCTCTACACTGGCTGTAAACTCTGGCGGATTGCTCGTTCGCTTTTGAACTTTGGTCTTGTTCCAAAACTGTGAGTTTTGCATGCACATCCGTTTGCTTTGACAGATTTGGCTTATTTATATGCAGACCTTTAGGTTGTTTGCCTCTGACACACACGTACCCCGACTTCAAAGAAAATACCCCCCAAAGTAGTCAGGTTTTACGACTTGCTTTCTGGGGGGGGGGGGGGGGGGGGGGGCAGTCATCTTAAAAAAAAAACAATGGCGCATCGATGTTTACTAAGACCCCCGCCAGCGGTTGGCATGTGTGCTTCCGCTGCTTTGAAATTACTCCATAAGACAGCATACGCAAAGTACTAAAAAGAACTCCAAAGACACCATGAAGAACGTACTTGAAGAGCACTCTCAGGGGACAGCCTGGAGCACTGCAGTTCTAGACCTTTCGTGACCTTATGATGACCATGAACACTTGAGACGGGTGTATTACGACTTGACAGGTTTCCGACGTTGTCGATGTAGAGGAAATGCCAAATGGGAGGTTGGTCGAAAATGTGAGCCACAGTTGTAGGGAGAAGGCAGCCAGCGGGAGGATGGTAGTCACGGGGAAATGTGTCCTCTGCTCCCCATGCGGACAGGTCATTCTTGTAGTTGAAATGCCATGTTAAAAGTATGAGTATGTGGATACTTGTCGGGAGAAGAGAGTGAGTGAGTGAGAGAGAGAGAGAGAGAGAGAGAGAGAGAGAGAGAGAGAGAGAGAGAGAGAGAGAGAGAGAGAGAGAGAGAGAGAGAGAGAGAGAGAAAGAGACCAAGGCGGCGGAGGAGGAGGAAGAAGAGGGTGGGGAGAAGAGAATGAAGGGGACAGAATTAGAGAGACGGGGGAGGTAACTGAAAGGAGCACAGAAAAAAATTGAGGTAATGGCAAAATGGAGCGGACAGAGGAGAGGGAAGTAGGGAGAATAAACAGGAGATGCAACATACCGTCAGACAGACAGAACATGCATACACCGACTCATGCAACCATTTATCCTTGGTCCATACAGCCATCCAACTAGAGAAACGTTCGAACTTACGAACAGAAAAAAACAAAAAAACTATGACCTCAGCCAGACAGACAGTTACCCATTGAAAAAAATAAATAAAATGTCAGTTATATACCAACCTTATTTTTGACAACAAAACGGCTCTAAACAAACAAGATAACCTCTGGACTATGTCCGGGATTTCTACACAAACATGCTGGTAACCACTTAACTATGCCTGGTGTTTCTCCACAAACATGCTGGTAACCACTGTACTATGCCTGGTGTTTCTACACAAACATGCTGGTAATCACTTTACTATGCCTGGTGTTTCTACACAAACATGCTGGTAACCACTGTAATATGTCTACGGGATCCTACACAAAAATGCTAGTAACCACTGTACTATTTCTGGTGTTTCTACACAAACATGCTGGTAACCACTTTACTATGCCTAGGTTTTCCACACAAACATGTGATAACCACTGTACTATTTTCACAGGATTCTACACAAAAATGCTAGTAACCACTGCACTATGCCTAGTGTTTCTACACAAACATGCTGGTAACCACTGTACGATGCCCAGGGTTTCTACATAAACATGCTGGTAACCACTATACTAAGCTGGGGTTTCTACACAAACATGCTGGTAACCACTATACTAAGCTGGGGTTTCTACACAAACATGCTGGTAACCAATTTACTAACCCGGGGTTTCAACATACACATGATGGTAACCATTTTACTAACCCCGATTTTTTACACAATCATGCTGGTAACCACTGTACTAAGCTGGGGTTTCTACACAAACATGCTGGTAACCACTATACTAAGCTGGGGTTTCTTCACAAACATTCTGGTAACCACTATACTAAGCTGGGGTTTCTACACAAACATGCTGGTAACCACTATACTAAGCTGGGGTTTCTACACAAACATGCTGGTAACCACTATACTAAGCTGGGGTTTCTACACAAACATGCTTGTAACCACTATACTAAGCTAGGTTTTCTACACAAACATGCTGGTAACCACTATACTAAGCTGGGGTTTCTACACAAACATGCTGGTAACCACTGTACTAAGCTGGGGTTTCTACACAAACTTGCTAGTAACCACTGTACTAAGCTGGGGTTTCTACACAAGCATGCTAGTAACCACTGTACTAAGCTGGGGTTTCTACACAAGCATGCTGGTAACCACTGTACTATGTCCTGAGAATGCGTGTGAAAGTTCTCCAGACAGCAGACAAGGATACTGTTCGTTTGGAAATACTTATCTCTTTACGTTGGGAATTACTCCTCAGCACTCTGAGTTCTTTGTTTTCGCTGGCACAGATGTCTTTACTTTGTTTTGTTTATTGATATCGTTCAGGAGGTGTTGTATTGCTGATGCGCATTGTCGTTTCTTTTGTGTAGTTTGTTGGTTTTGTAAATGTGTGGTGTTTTATTGTTACATGGCTTTGTTTATTGTTATTATTGAGTGGATGTGTACACAATACTATGATTTCTGGTGTTAGAGGTTTTCTATGTTTGTTGACGTGGATAATGTGTTGCTGTGTGTGTAACTAGCCTTCTTGTATTTATGAAGAGAGAGAGAGAGAGAGGAAAGGGGGGGGGGGGGTGGCAGAATACTGCGCGCACTCGTAGTAAATAAGTATATAAACATCCATCCAGAAAAGATATTGCCAGTGTGTATGTATTTATATATAAAGAGTTCATCAACATGAGAATCCTTCTTCTTCTTCTTCAACTTCACCAGCTCTAAAGTCCGGTGCAAAGTTTCGGTTGTTCGTCCACTTGTGAATTTTGATCTTGTTCCTCCCCCTGTGTGTTCCG